AGACTATCGTAGGAAACACCGTTTCTCGACTGGAAACGGGTAAAGGCACTTTAATTGGAGAAATGGTGGTCAGTATCTCGCCACGCCTCACACTCCTCTCTTTTCCTTCCTTTCTCTGTTGCGCGTTTGGTATAAAAATAACTAACAGATGTAAGCGACACAACCATACTCCTGAACGCCTTTCGTTCTAGGTAACGTTAAAGGTGAACAACCGCTTTAACAGAGTTTAACAGCACACGTCAAGAATATTTAACTTACAATTTCATCAAAACAAATTTAACTATTTACTTGAGATAAATAAAGAGAGAGAGAGAGAGAGAGAGAAAAAACGGTGAAAGATGGCATGGCATGTATCAGCGTACAGAGCTCCTTTCAGAATTACATTAAGAGTTTAATCTTGTATATATTTCGTAATGTTTATAGTTTGCCTAGTAACGATTGACGAACTGCAGAATGCGATAACGAAAATAATATAAGCGGATGCTCAACGATCGTATCCAGTAATCGCTCTCTTATCACCGAGGTGTGGCAGGCAGCGTAGAATTGCCCGTTCGATTCCGTGTCTCGGCGATCTTTCAAACAAAGCTTAGAGTGTTATACTGACTCTGTCGCAAGGAACAATTGTAAGCAACATCCGCTCGATCTTCGCGAGATAAAGCGTCAACGAACGGGCAGGAAAAGGGGGGAAAAAAAAAGGGAAAAATGGCAGACGAGAAAACTGTGTCGGACGAGCGATTGCTCGGTTATTTACACGCATACGCGAAAACCATCGAGCTGACGGCTCCGAAATTTCGCATAATCGAGGGCACCAGCAAGGGCGATAATTACGTTGGCCTCATTTATCGCGTCACGATCGAGAGCATCGAGAACGGCGAAGTCAAGAAAATCGATCTTATACTGAAAACTACGCAGATTAACGCCGACGCTCTGCTGGAGGACAACAATGTCGCACAGTTGTTCAAGCGCGAGATATTCTTCTATCGAGAGGTGTTGCCCATTTTCAAAGAGACTATGAAGGGACGCGGCGAATTTGTCGACCGCTTCCCTATTTTATACGACGCTAATGACGAGTCCGGAAAACAGGTAATTTTGCGGTTCACCACCGCTGTACGTGATCCCCGCCGATGAAGCAATAATAATGCACATATACGAAAGAGCCGAGAATCGTGTAATCGCACATGTAAATTCCATACGTCGCCTTTTACATAATCTCTTTTCTTGCGCGGATATAGCGCGGCCACGTAATGGAGCGGTAAGAAAGATAACCGCTCGACAATCACTTTTTTTCTTCAAGGAAATATTAAATAATAGAGAAACGATTATCGTTACGTACGCGTATATATGTGTAAAATTTCAAGCGAGCTATTATTACTCGTAACATTATCTTTCATTTCGATCAGCTGAAGCTAATTATTTCGATGATGCTTGACTCTTTTGTACGTCCTCAAGACAATGCGCTTCGTGATGCGTTGCTAAATTGGCTCGGCGAGATTTATACGTGTAATAAAACGCGGGGCATCATGTCGCGAAGTGAAATGTCGATTTATAATGACACACGGACGCACGGGCACGCATATGCGCGCGGCCCGGGCATATAATAAACTGGTTTAAAGATTATCAAGTGAGACATAAGGTCCGGTTAACCTTTGCGTTACGCAATATTTTCGTTAATAGCCAATCTTTATTTAAGCATTTAATACGAAGGAAGCTCTTAATATAATTTGGCGCGCGGTTCCACATTTGCGCAATTATCAATTTTAGAATTTAATTAAATGCGAAATTCACGGAAGCGATATAATTCGCGGGTATAGCTTTCCTTTAAATTGCAACCCTCCAATTATTCGTTCGAAAGCCACCGTATTTGAAGTTTATATAAGAAAACGGTCGGCGATCGCAAATCGACGATAAATAAATACTATATATACATCTTCCGCAATTTTTGGAGTCTTTTCACCGATCGTATTTAGCCGTAAAAGTAGATGTAATCAATGTTAGGCACGCGGTAGAGGTACACGGAGCAAAGTGTCTGATATAATTAGATGGCTCGCGAAAGTACACGTGCACTTCTTGATTCTTGTTCGGCACGTAACATCACGTACGTAATATCTCTTGACATTTTGATGGAAGAACTTCTGCGCGCGTGACGTAAAAAAAAATGAGTTAAAGTAATTTACCTTCTAATAGAAGGTGTCCTTATCTTATCTCGTCTTGCACGAGACGTAGCTTCAACATCTCATCTAATAACAGTGATTTATACTTGACTGATAATAAGACCTTAACAGAGAAAATTGAGAAGAAACTATTTTGTAATTCACTCTAATTGCAATTTACAGCTGTTTCTTGCGAGTAATTTATTTATATTACACGCGCGTACATAAAGATGCTTATTCATCGATACAAGTACAAATATCTGTTGGTGAGATGAGACGTGACTCGACAACATTATTGCGATTATCATCCTCAGTTATCTCATAACATATGATAAACTTTCACATGTTTCTGATGTAGCGCGATTATTGAGATTAGATTCGTATCTTACTTCTAAAGAATATTACACACTCCGTATAGCGACAAGAAGCGAACATTTCAATAACGACATATAATTTACCGTAGTTCCTGATGCTGGAAAATCTAACGCCCCAAGGTTTTATGATGGCCAAGTCAAAAATTATGGATTATCCGCATCTCAGCTTGGCGTTACGATGCTTAGGTGAATTGCACGCGTACAGCTTTATTACGCGTTCCGCGAATCCGATGGGCTTCGAGAAATTAAAACGGATGCAAGAACCCTTGTTTTCTCAAGAATTGGCTGAAAAAAAAGCCGATAAAGATAACATTAGTAATATTGTTACACAACGGCTCACCAATGTCATATTGAAGGTACTTCCATATTTCGTTGGTCCTTAAAAATCGTCGATACATACATTTGTACTTAATTAAATCGTGTTTTCTTTATACCATGTATAGGTTTTAGCAAACGAAGACAAACATTATTTCGAAAGGTACCAACGATTCGTAGATAATATAACGCAGAACATGATTGATGCAACTGATGGAAAAGCCGCTGAGCCATACGCCGTTGTAAACCACGGTGACTCGTGGACCAACAACATACTCTTCAAATACGATCAAGTATATACGATTAAATACTTTCTCAATAAGATATACATCGTTATCCTAAGATTTGCATTGAGTTAATGTACATAAGCATACTTTCACATATCTCACGTGGCATATCGTTTCGTTTCAGGATAAAAATCCGTGCGACTTGCGTTTCATAGACCTTCAGATATGTCGTTACGCGTCTCCCGTTTTAGATCTAATTTATGTACTCTTCTGCTGCTGCACGCAAGAAACAAGGAGTAAATATTTCGATCAGTTAATACACGAATATTACGAAACACTATCCAAGTGTATCGAAAGAGCCGGTTACGACCCTAAAATCCTCTTTCCTTACGAGGTATTGTCCCAACATTTTACCAAATTTGGGAAATACGCGGCGGGAATGGCTACTTACACTGTACATATAATGACTAGTAATGGTTTGGACATAAAAAGTACATATGACAATGATACGCTCCAAGATAGAGTGCAAAATGACAGTCTTTATAGAAGTATGTTAATAGGCACTTTTAAGGATCTCGTCGACAGAAATTATATATAAATCAATACTTTTACGATAATATTGACATCACGGGTACTAAAAACAAAGGATCTTTAATATGACAAATCTTGAGATTAAAAGTAAAATGCTTTAGTATATTAAACTTACAATTAAAAACCAGTGTAACTGTACTACTATAAGTCTGCTTAATCGAGTTAAAGGAATTTCATTAACAATGATTTATTTACATAGACGTAACTTGTAAAAGTTATTTGTCTTATTTTATGCTGAAATATCATTTGAAATATCAGACATAGATATCGCTGTTGACTTTTAATAAACAAAAATTTCATTATTATTTCGGTCACTAAGAATTTGCCGGTCACTAATAATTGCGCGATATATATAATTTTTTTATAATTTTTTTACTGTACAGTAAAATTGTTGCTTATATAAATTTGTAACATCTATATATCTTTTCATCATTTGAATCCACTCGAACTTTGATAAATCAGTTTTTATAAACAATTTCACTCAGGCAAAGGCGGAAATTGTATAAGAGATATATTTTAAAATGAAATATACAATCTCAAATATACAAAATAAAGACAATCTACTACATTGTTTGGTAATAAAAGGAATACTAGTTTAGTGATAATATTTTAGCTCTAGTAATAAGGTCTTCTTGGATTATTCTGAAAAAGAAAACGTAGTAATTAAAAGCCATTAGATATTTTCTTGTTTCCGTTATTTTATTGTAACAATCGTGATACTTACCAATGGATTAGGCCTGAATCTATAAGCAAGCATCATCCGTTTTCTATATGCATCAAATTCATCATCGTCCCTAGATACACCATCTGGTCTTTCAGAACCGAGACCTGCGCTATCGAGTCTATTCGTCGCTCTAGAAACGTATTTAACGATCAAGAGCTTGAAAATATTAGACAAACGTATTCGACACGAGAGATGACGATAACTAGTAATACTAATAATGTAAAAATAGTATTACTTGTTAATTGGTTCAATTCGACCACTACCCTCGCTACCCAACCCTTGTCCTTCGCTCCAGCCAAGCTTTTGTAACATCTGAAACCCTGTAAGTAGAAAAATGTTATTGGATTTCCCAACTGAAATAATTGTTAAGAAGGAATAAAGAATAACTTTAGTTATATTAGTATTTAACTTGAAATGTTTGCTAACTTAATTAATAGTAATGAAGAATATAATCGTCAAATTTAACTACTTTATATTTGTTACATAAATATAATATTGATAGAGAAAGAGAGGAAAAAATAGTTATTTGTGTAACAAGTGATGTAAGATGAAAATTCCCGGGTGCGGAGTTTACGCACGAGCCGAAGGCGAGTGCGGTAACCGCACCCGGGAATTTTCATCTTTACACACGACTTACACTCCCTATTTTATGTTGCAAGTGCCTGGAAAGTGGTGTATCATGCACGCGTAGCGTGCGTAATGGGGCACTTTCCATGCACGTGTTGCATAAAAATATTTTTGGAACATACCTATATTATCTTCCTTTAACTTATATTCCTTATAGTCGCTCAAATCAGGTTCTTTTCCCTGCTTTACGGCATTATATTGTTCCAAAAATTTTTTTAACTCATCCGGCGGCAAAAAATCGCCAATGTGATGTTTGCCTTCCGCTTGCGCGGTTAATTCCTCGGCCCACATCTGTGTCGCCTCCATTTCAGCTGACCTCAGTTTGTGTTCCCAAGTTCCTCCTTCCGTCTCTTCATCGCTGTCGTACTCGTATTTATGTTTCCCTTGTGCTTCCAAACGTTTCACTTCTTCTCTTTTCCTTAAGAGATTTTGGTACAAGAGATTTATCTAAAAAAATATGTATATACAATTTTTTTATGTGTACAAAATAATAATTGATCTTTAAAACTCACTTTCTTACATTTTCGTGTATAATTGGATGGAGAGAGTGAATTTTGATACATTCTATATGTATTTTTTTTACAATTGATGCAATAATCTACCTTATAATGATCCTCTGCCTTTTTCCATTGTTCTTCACTTAAATCAAGTGTACCAAACGTCTGTCTCGCATAATGGATAAGTGCAGGATCATTCCGTGAAATCTTGGTAAGCATTGGATTCTTTGATTTAATTTGTTGTCTCTTCGACGGAGAAGGTATTATAACTGCCGGCTGCCCAATTTGTCCGGGTATAGCTATGCCAGGTTGCGGAAGTACAGCACCTGATCTATTACCAGAAGGTACGTTTGTCTCCGTAACGAGAACCTTATTGTCTGGATCACCCCAGCGACTACGTTTTCTTCTTTTCCGTTCTTCCCTATTATCATCCTTTGACTGATCTGCTAACAGTGGTACATATAAACCATATATTAGTAAAGTTTGTCTTAAATATTACCGAACTGTATACGTAGTTATGGTTCACCATGTGGAGTTGAATGAGATTTCTGAGATTTATCTGCCTCGTCATTGTCACTAAGAGCTTCTTCAGGACAATAAAGTTCTGCACCACTGTTCTTCTTATCCTTATCTGGCTTCTCCGCACGTAATTTAGAAACCAATCCCCTGTACTGCAGATACGCTGCACTTTGCTTTTGGTGCAGAAACCTTGATTAAAATGATACTTAAAACGCTGTCTAGTAATATGTATTCCTATAGATACAATACTTTCATAGAAGTGTAACATTAATATAGAAGTGAAGTAAAAAGTAGCAGAATAAAATAATCTGAGATTTTGTTTGGATTAAGGAAATTGGAGGCACTGTGATATTACATATAGTATATGCCTGGCATTTCAAAATATGCGCGCTACATATAAACACCAAAAACAAGAAAAAATATATAATTATGCTCCAAAAGATGTGATTATAACTTGAGAGATATGTAATAAAATTTTGAAATGACAAATATCTCCTCTTGTTTTTGACTAATATTAAAAACCATCGCATAAAATTTAAATCTTAGAATGTAAAGCATTACTGGTGTAGTATAGATATTTACTTTGTTAAATAAATACGCTTGGAACAAGATAAAACTCGGTTGTTGAGAATAACGTGTTTAAATACGTGCTTAAAAATAAAAGAATATAGCAAATGTACGCAAAAACTCAATTAGAAGATAATTGCATATTTTGTCTCAAACTTTTTCATATATCATATCTTTTGTAACATTTTTATAATTTCAAAATTTTAGTTTTTTTTTATGTGGAAAATATTATATTAGTAAAAACATTAAAGTCAAGAAAAACAAATGTGTCCTATGTAATTGTAAGTCATGGGTTGTCAAATACATATGGTACGATTATTGTGATTACAAGAAAAAAAAATATGTTTTATGTGAGAATGCATTCATCAGTAGTAACAGTTTTATCGAATCTAAAAGCTTGCTTTATGAAAATATAAGAAACATGTAGACAAATTTCTATAATCAGCAAATAATTTTGCGATGCAGTTGATATTTAGGAAATGCAAACATATATTTGCAACAATTCACATTAAGCGGCCATTGAACAAAATTGTACATTCAATCTTTCATGTTACTAAGATGTCAAGAACTATGTGATAAAGATTTGTACAATGTCCTATAATACAAAATAAAATATTATCATCCTAGATATTATAAAAGTATTAATTATATATTACAAACGAGGAATAGGGGAATGGAAATAAAAAACGAGGACCAGTGAGGACAGTAGTTACCATAATTTAGGATCTTGGGCATTCTTCTCTCGCACTTCTTGTTCTATCTCATCCCCACAGTCAGCCACGATTCGTGCCAGCTGCTCAGCCTCTACTAAACACACTTAGAATCTTTTGTCAGATACTTTGTATAATAATGTCCCAAATATCTATACGTGTGTCTATGTGTGTGTATACATGTACATTTTAATAATTATAAATATAAACAAATATCGTGTGTGTATATACTGTATATATAGATATAAATTCTATTTTTTAATTTTTAATACTATATCTTACAACAAATTATTTTCCTAATGTCCCATAATTGCGTTAAAATTGTGCAAGAGATAGAACAAAGTGTCTAGTGCTTATAAATAACATTACATAGCTATGCGACACAAGAGAAACGTATTTCTCGACTATGATATCGTACCTTGTTGTTCGGAACTTTGTAGATTAGCCGGCGGTCTTACAGGTGGTGGTATTTGTACGTTAGGAGGACCCACTGAGATAGGTACCTGATTGGAAAGAGCATAGCCACTGGACATAAGACCGCGCGTTGGTGCTGCATTAGGAATGACATTGGGAGGTGGGATATTTGGCGGTGGAATATTCAAGTTTGGAGGTGGAACCGAATTGATCGTCGATGGGACGGTGTGCACTGGCGGAGGTGCTGACATTATCATGGACGTTATCACGTTTGGGGGTGGAACATTGGCTACGTTTGATACCGTTACTACGATGGCCTGCGAGCCTGTAATAGGCATCATAGTCGGAGGCATTTGCGACATCGGTGGCAAAATGTTGGGCGGTGGAATATTAGGCGGAGGAATATTCGGAGGCTGTAAACTGGCGTTGCACGCCGGCGGTGGTACGTTGCATTGCTGCGGATTTTGTATGATGTGCTGTTGCGCGTTCGACGGCGAGGATAAGTTGGGCATGGGCATAGCTTGAGACATCTGCATATTTGGAGGTGGAACATTTGTATTAGGTGGAATGCTCTGAATGGGAGGAGGTGGTGGAGGACGTATGATATGTGGGGGCGCGATCTGCATTCTCACATTATTAGAATGCTCGTTCATGTTAGCGTATGTGTTGCTAAAATTTTTCGACACCGGTATCCTCTGCATATGCGCAGATGGGATGTTTGGCGTCATGTTCCTTATATTTGGGGGTGGTATATTTGTCATTTGCATCTGCACCGGTTGCGACATGAGGGACGGGATGGAAGAGACATGGTTGTTATTTTGAATTGGGACGTGCTGATTAAATTGCTGAGCGCGCTGTCCGTTCTGTGACTGATTGTAGCTGTGCCGCGTCTCTGGACTAGGTGGCGATCTTCGCCTGGTAGGCGATGGACTCGACGACGAGCTGTGTTTTCTATCTGAACTTCTTCCCCATCGTGTGTCATTTCTTCTGCGATCGCGTCTGCTGTCCCAATCTCTATTCTTTTCGCTACTGCGCTTTCTTTCTCTGTCTCTCTCTCTAACAGCTTCGTAGCTTCTCTCATCTTTTCTCTTATCTTCTTTATCCTGTTCTTGTTTGCTGGTCGTTTTGTTGGCTATCTTTCTAAACTGATCGAGGAAACTGCCGTCATTGGCAAACGCATTCATGGTAGGCTTGTCATCATCTTCCCTATGGATAAACAATGAATTTTACTTCCTCCAAATTTTACACCTCCAATTAATCGATATAAATATTTCAAACGCCTAAATTATAATGTAAATTTCGTCCGGAAGATCGAACTGACGCGACGTGACGCGACGTGACGCGACGTGACGTGACAGAGAAGAGATTTACTCCGCTTACTTTGGAGCACTTTTACTAGTTGTTGTGGTCGAGGCTGACGATGACGAGCTTGACTTTTTCATGGATTCCACGGCTTCCTTCGCTTTTTGCTCCTGCATTTTCGCCTGGATTTCCATCTTCTTTTGTTGAATGATCTGCTCTTGCTTCGACATCTGCGCGAAACGTTCATTTCGGGAAGTTTTCGACACAAACGGATCGGAGCCCTTCACACCGCGATACGCCATTTTTGTCAGAGGTTTAGCCTCTCGATCGCGCGAACAGCTCGAGAGATTTTACGGGCGGACGATTAAAAGGGAATCTACGTATCTTGAATTATTTTTTGTATTCCAGAATCGTGCGTCAACTAATACAAAAGATTTACGCTCGGCTACGCGCGACGGAGTTTCATATTTCATCGAGCAATGTCGACGATTGTCGACGATGTCGGCCATATATATTTTTACTTGCATAATGTCTGCCTGTCCGAAATCAAATCGAAACGGCACCGCCATGGCCGTGCCTCATTTTCCGACGCGCCGCCTGAGAAAGTGCAACTCAACTACGTCGTTTCGCTCGGTAAAATATTACAAGAGACAATTATTATAACAATAAAAACTTTACAACTTAATTGTTTGATAGAGACAAAAGTATAAATGTTTCTAAATGCTTTAAATTAAATTAACAAATCGTTCGCTAGGATTTACATATATGTTTACATCTCGTCACTAATATTGCACTTTATTTTTAAACATACAGACATACAAATAAAAATGCTATACAATACTTACGTTGCTATAATATATATATCGTATGTATATATATAACAACTATGTATACGTGTGTATGTATATACACTGGTACAGTAAATCGACATATATATAATATATCGGTATAGAAGGAATATAAGTTACATAAAAACGACATAATATAAAATAGTAAAAATCAGTACAGAGAATCAGAAGTCTCGTTATTATAAGTGCGGGTCGCTGCAGCGGATTTAGCCTCTTATAGCGACGAGAGAAATTTATATTCATATAGAATGATATATGTATACTCTTGGACTGAATTCTCTATTTATTCGAGCTGCTAATTCGTTTCGCCACAACATACACCAAGCTGCTCGACAACTTCTCTTAGATACCAACAATATTTGACTGATTGATGTCAGAGTATCCTACAAAGCCCATGTCACAGCTACTACAAGAGTCTATCGACCATAGTTAACAGCGTTCAATTACAGACCAAACACGTAAGCTTAAAGCGATTTAGTCGCGTAAAATTGGCTATATAATAATCTCTGTAAAATACTCTGAATTATACCGTGATTTCTCGCTATTCCATGTCGCAAACGAAGGGAGGCCTCTCCCCGTGAGATTAGAGTTAATTCCGGAAAATTCCTTTTAATTATTAGCGTTGTGAGTAGTGCGTTCGTCGCCGCTTCCAGCGTAATCGTTCAAATTAATATTATGCTTGGCGAATTCAGTCTTAAAATTTCTCTACTGGGCAGTAGCACGATAACTCGGCAAAATGAATGCTACTCCCATTGCCAGTCTTTCCATTCCGTCGCTCGGTGGAATTGTCGGAGTGAACTTGATCGACATGTTTGTACAACGTTTAACGCTACCTCACATTCCGGTACCTTGCCTCTGAAATACCTGCTTATTACGATTATTTGCGTTATGCGTGCGCGCCGCCCGCAACGAGCGTAATATTAAAATCGATTCGCAAACGTTTTACTGAAATACATCATTGTTCTTGGTAGTTTGTACAACTGGCGGCTTGGACGTGGCATGATTGTCCTGATAATGCTTCCATAGGCCAGTTACGTTGTTCACCTGCGCACCACAGCCAGGCATTTTGCATCTAGAAGATTAAATACTTGGTTTTACTTGTAAAAGTTAAAACATACCTACATATATGTATTTACACGTATCAGTTTACTTACATGAAAAAGCTGACCGTAGACGCCTTCCCTTGTTTTACCTTTGGCATTTGCTTACCAGCATTGGAATTAATTGTATTCGTGACTAATTTATGACTGTCTTGATGATGACGATAGTGCGATATGTATTTGTACTTCTTTCCGCAACCGTTGACGTCGCATTTATATGTTTCCTGTTTGTACCTAGACATGCGTTGCTTCTTTGGGGTGTACTCCTCGTCTTCCGAACACGTGCTATTTGTTTCTATGGAGCTCTCTTCGATTTTCAAAGGATTCTCGCGCTCGAGACCGCTCCGAAAAACTCGTTCCATGTTTCCTAAATCTATTCTATGCTCCTGATTTCGTATATTTAAATTGCATATTTCCGTTTTCATATTTTTTGTAATGGTTACGTCGCTATTTATATAAACCACATTATTCTTATCCTGCGTGCATTCCACCTGAAGGATCTCTTCGCACTTTGGTGTTCCAGTATCGTATTTTCGTAAGAACGCATCTTTAATCATAAGCAGATCTTCATTATTAGTTAACTTGTTAATACCATTCAAAGATTCATTATTCGAGTAGTCCTCGTTATTTGTAGCAGTCGTAATCTTATTCTGCTCGTGACAAAACTCGCTCTTCACCTGAATTTTAGTTTCGTTTCTAATAGGACAATTTTCTTCCAAACTCCCATATTCTTCCTTTATGGTAAAGTTTTCGCTTGGCAGTTGTTCATAACATCCCTCGTCAGTCTTTTGCATGACTTCTTCGTCCATCGCATTTTCGGGGCCTTCGAAACAAATTATCTCAGGCTCCGTTGGCAGTGTAGGCGGTTGTCTATGACAACTTTCAATATGCTCCTCAAGATTGCCACTAGTAGATTGCAAAGATCCGCAATTAGTGTACGGACATACAAAGACATTTGTTTCATTGTTGTGCCATTCTTGATAATGTCGCCACATGCTACCTGGATCTGACACTTCTTCTCCGCAACCAGGCTCGCGACAACTATGAAAAAATTACAACAAGATATTAATAAAACCTCAAAAAGAATTCTAAACTTAACATCGCCAATATTCCATAATATTTGGTCAAAATTCACATTAATTAACTTGTAAATATCTGTTTTGCCCAACGATCCAATGAATTATTTTACACTCACATGAATCGAATTTTCAAAGCCTCTAATGTCTCGTGCGTCTTATATTCATCTTGATTAGTGAACACCTTACCGCAACCTCGTTGTTTGCAAGTGTATATTTCCTATGGATTGAAAGTTGATTCAATTAATAAGACTTTCTTAAATGTATAGCACAAATTGAAAACATTTCAACATCAACGAATCCAGTCGCTGATGACAAATAGATCTTATATTGATTATACAACTTTCACTATTATCAACAAACATAAGGATAATTTTCACATATGTTTAGCATCAAAATCTGGATTGACTAGGATTTTACTAAATTTAACATCTGATAAGCCACAGCCTGAGGCAAATGACAAACCAGTTTTGATCAATTCTGATCTAGGCATTGGATAAAAAATATAAACAGGATCAATTATAATTTTACAATTCATTGAGTTTTTCTTTTTAAAAGACAATTAACTGCTCGTGGAATTTACGTCGAAATCAAATAAGCTGATCGAAACAAGAGTCACATTTTTAGGTTTTTACACCCCCGCTCCGCTTTACTCTACTATTTGTTTTGGCTTAGGGGTCATTGACCCCGGGCGACCAATGGCTCCGTCGTAAACCTTCACCTTTTTCGGTGCGATTTCCTCGATGGTGCGATTCCGCGAGACGAATCTGATGACGCTGACCTCCGTGGGCCGGTCGGCGCACGTCTCCGTACCCTGGCCCATCCTGCGGTGACTCGCCACGAAGCGACGGCGAGCAGCGGGAGGACGAGCTCACTCACTCGCTCCGCTCGCGGAGCCTCACATAACCTCGCGTATCCTCGTGTGACGACAAGTTTGACAGAAAAAATATCGTCTCCGTTGAATAAATTCCTGCACGAAATTCCGCGGTTTCTCGACGGGGCCGACGCTTGGGTCGCGGCACTTACCGGCCAAACGCGCCCTCGAGTACGCACAGAAACGCGCCGTCGATTCCAGCTCACATTATCGCTCTGTCAATAATAACAATTACTTGTGTTGTCAGGTCAGTGCAGCGGAATCGTTCCCGGCCCCGGCCGCTGCGACGACGACGCCGGTCTCGGTTTCAGCGCAATGAGAACCGCTGGTGCATGACCTATAATATGCCAACAGACGTGCACATCACGGAAGCGTAAAATCTATCCAGAAGGCAGAGAGAAGATAAGCAAAGAAGTTGAATTAATTAATTAATTAATTAAATAGCAAGAACTATCCAAAAATTGTCTACATTTCTGAAAATTGCGAGATTTAACTTTGTCAGTGAGTTTTGGAACGCCACTTGCTAAAGTGAGACCTCTCTCGGAATAGCTGTGAATTAGGTTTGTTTTTCTAAAAAAAGTCTACTGTCGGCTATATAAAAAAAAAACAATTGAAATTTATTAACAATAATTGCATACAACGGACAATATAAAATCATCTCTTATATTTCTCTTACTATATTTCATACAATTAAATTTCCATTTTAATTTACATTATAATACATGTACTGTTTTAAATGTATATTATTATTTAATATAAAATTAAATTACGACAGATATTAATTTTATCGATCAGTCTTTTTTTAATCGTCATTAGAATTCTAGAATAATTTAACTCTAAGAATTCATCGCTCTTATTCGTATCATACGTTCTTTAGCCGCTTTAAATTGTTCAAGGACATTTTCAACGTTATTCATAAGTGTATCGGTGCTCACTTTATCCGAGTCATCTCTTTGATAATTGGAACGTTTTGTGTGCGTACTACTTTGTAGTATTATATTCATATAAATTACAATATCTCCGCTCGGTACGACTTTCAAGTTTGATTTGTCTAAAACTTTGCCCTCGTGGCCCATTGGAATACCACAATATGTTATATCCTCCAGCTCGTAAGAGCCACCAACAAAAAATCGTCTCAAGGTGTCGATAATACTTCCTTTTGCGCGCCACGTAGGAACTGTAAATTTGTATCTACCAGGCGTCATTGGTATTGGCAATGCGGCGTAACCCTCTATTCGATACCTATATTAAAACAGGACAATATTTTATAATTTCTATATATTACAATATATTGCTGACAATTAGAAAAAAAATGTATAAAAGTATAAAATGCAATATAAAATTTTTCAGCTAAATAAAAGATGTAAAAATCAATATCGAGAAACAAGGCGTTCCGCGTAATTACCTGGTCCAACTATCCAGAGATGCGGCGGAGAGTAACAGACGAGGCCAGAGTGACGATGCACCGCCGCTTGATTGTTGAAATTCATTTGACGGATAATGCAAGGATATGTCCGTACAATAACTAAAATGCGCCGTTCTGTTTTCTAAAAGGCACTTCTGAGTTCTGCCGAACAATCTCTCTTTCTGTTTTGTACTCCAATGTTGCGGCAAATCGATGAAATAGGTAACAAACAATCCGTCATAAGAGAAGCCATGAGCTGACGCAATATCCAAGCATATGAATAGTGTGGATGAATTTGGTGGTGGCAATTCTAACTCCTTGTATAACTCTGCTTCTTTATGAGCAAGCTGCTGTTGTACTTCCTGTAACGAGAAAAATATTAATTTCAATATTTAATTCATTACTAATTAATATTTCATTAACACACAATTCATTTATTCAGTTAAGAATTTTTGAAATGCTGCATATTGTAAAATATATTATATATTTGATTATTTAACATAATTATTTAACCAAGTTTACAGAAGAAATCGCTGTATATTAATTTCTTCGTTGTATCAATCTTTTATTAATAAGAGACCGAAAGAGAGAGATCATTTTTAATAATAAAAATTTGCTGAGGGAACTAACATTCGAAGATTCGGCTTACTTAAATTACGAAACGGATTTTAAAAAGATTCTCACATCTATGCATATCGTAACTATCTCGAACTCGATCGAATAGTTACGAAATAAGCGCGCAAAATAATATTCACTAATCTCCGCCGCTTTGCAGCGAAGTGCAGTGATAAAGCGTAAGCTCTACTACTGCCGTGAGATAGTGTGCGAAAGCCGCTTCTATGTTCGCAGATATATTCCTGCCCCACTGTGCACGTATAAACTGTATATACACACGTATAGGCTGATAGCGCTACATACTAACATACAGCCTCACGGAAGAGAGCGTTGAAGCGTTCAAGAAGACAGTCGGAGAACCATAGGATTCAGTCGATCGTAGGAAGTGCGGTGATCAACTCGGGCTCGGCCGGCACGTGCGCGCCTTTGTAAAAAAAAAAAAAAACATACGCGCCTACCGTGATTATCATTAATATATGCCGGCTAGCAAGAGTTCGGTCTCGCTGGCTGCCCCATCATGCCCGAAAGTATGACGAGGAAATCGATCGGCCGCAAAATCATTGGGTGTGTCTTGAACAACCGGAAGAGAGAAAGAACATCGGTGAATTGACGAATTTTCCGTGAAGATGCCGTAATTCGCGCAGAGTATCGGGGACAGTTACCAGTGTATACATAACGGCACAGCATGATCATGTTCTATCACCAGCGAGCAATGCGTCAGATCTCAGAAATTTCCTACGTGGGGTATGTAAGAATGTTTTCCTTTTTTTAAATTTTGTCTTCCCTTTCCAAGCGACCGGCAATAAAGGTTTTTGATAGCGTGCTCGCGCGAGCGACCGCGTAACACTTTTTTGCAACGTCCTCTTGATACTAGATACTAGATACTAGATAATGATGGACTCCCGGTTGCCGTATCGCGACGGTTTTGCTGCGTTTTTTTCTGCCGGTAGGCAGCGATCGAACTTGGAAGCGAATGGATAATATGTATCATCAAATTGCTTCATCGCGCCTCATCCAACTTGATAAACATTCGATAAACGGCGTCGCCCGGCTCTCCACGTGCCGCGTCACGTTTGCCCGTACTTGACCGGACATTACTGCATAATTGGAAACTGCTTCTACAAAAAGTAAAAACAACCATTCGGCTTTTGAATCGAAATAAATTACATTATTCGTATTTATGCAATTTGCGTATAAATAATTGTCCTTCGCTCGATATGACGCAATTGATCTATTGCAATTGCAATATCTCCTATAAATTTATATAATTTAAAATAAACCAATTTTATTAATTAATCGCTGTATCGTGATAATTTAACGACTCTTAATAGTGTACAATTTTCTTACCCTTCGTATCAAAATCATATTTGAAAAGATAATAAAGTGTTTCTCCTATGAATTCTATGTGGAAATGTTGAAAATAGTTCCCGATAAGCGTCATTGTTGCGAGTAATTATGCACCACACCTCTTATTGTAGTTTGTTTTTCGCAAAGTAATGATGACGAACATCATGTTACATACGTCTAAAACCGATATGAACATTTGTTGAGCAATACTATTCTTGAAGTAATATATATATATCTCTCTCATTTTCGGTCCTCGCTTATTAATATAACTATATATCACTATCTGAAATTAGTCTGATACTGAATAAATAAAATTAATGAATTTAATTTAAGCAATAATAAAAAAAGAACACGTTTCTAATTTTGTTTCTTACTATTCGCTACTCAAATAATATATGTCAAAAATTATTATAATAGCATATTAATTATTAATTAAATAATTAATCAATTATAAATCATTAATAAATTAGAAATGATACTATGTTATACAGACGTCAGAAAAGGAAAGAGAAGGAGAGAGAGAGAAAGAAAGAGAGTAATGAGTCAGAGCGGAAAAAATTATCGGTTATTAATGTAACTGCGTTGTGGGGCAAATAAACGGACGTCGCTCGGGAATGCCGAGATTGGTCTTTCCACGAAAAGACGGTCTTTTTGATCGGTGCGCGTGCGATGACGCGAAAGTTTGGTATGCCGATCATACGCGTCGTAAATAGCCGCATACTTACACGCCGCGCGTTTTCGCGGTGCTCCTGCAATTCCAGCGGTGTTCGCCCCTCGGAAACGTGCTCGATTTGATAATTAAACTTGACGCCGTAACCGTTGGTGACGTTGTAGTGCTGCTCGTCGTCGATCGTGAAATCGGGGCTAATCGTCAGCAGTTTGCGCGCCTTGTCGTACGTCACCGTGCAGAGCAGCGTCTCCGAGTCCGTCGACCCGATGATCGCGGGCTCGTCCTTGCGCGAAAGATCGGCCATCACGCGCATGGTGGTACGTTCGGTATAAAGATAATGGCTCGATCGGATCTTGGTATCCGTGATTTTGTCATCCACCACGTTTTTGTTATATCGCTCCCGGAAGGTTTTGCGATTCCGCATGGCTGGCAACGCGGTCTCGTTCTTCACGGACAAATACGATCTGCGAGCGAGAGTGAAAATGTTTACAATTTCCGAAAGTTACAAAAAGAAACCAAAACCCACACGTTCCCCAATGTTTTGCAATACCCCGAACTCGACACGCAACAAACTCCAGAAATATAAATCTGGATTTTGTATCTTTCTTGATCTTGAATGAAAAAGAAACTTCCGTGTTACCGAAATCTTTTTGTTTTAGAAAAATGGAAATAATAATTTAGATTATCCTTTATGCTTATCTTATTTCTAATCCTTTAAATAATTAATTAATTTAAAAAAAAAGATGTTAATGTGTTTTACTTCAAGATAAATGTCGCGATAAAAATTTTGCCGGAACTCTACAATCAAATGACAAACATTTATACGATATCTAACAATTAAATCCCTGCCTGTAAGGCACCGTCAGGAGGTCGTCATCGGCATAATAGGGGTCGTTTTCCGTGTACGAGTACAAACGTGAACCTTGCAGCTGCTCGTCGCGTATACGCCGGTGGCACTCACGCTGACAATCGGTCAGGCAATTCTTCTCGTCTGCATAGAAATCGATCTCGAACGGGCCGAACACCTTGTCCTGCCAGCTAAAAATATGGTCCTCCTCCTCCAAGAAATTGGAGTCTCTGGTCTCGCCGCACTCAGGCTCCTCGGCTAGCAACTCGGCCAGCGGGGACCTCTCCTGCACGACTCGCACTCTGAAACAACAAATGAATGCCGACGAAATGAAATCTGGTGTAATTTGGAAAATCCTGTGTGGTTCGCGGCCAGATGCCCAAGATTCATTCTGATTCTGTGGGATCGGAAGATTCAATCGCTATTTTATCTTCGCTTCTTACCCACGTTGGTGATTACGAATTAATTATGAGAATGGAGTTAAAAGCCTGTAAATAGCTTTACGTAACTCTTACGTCAAGGACGTTACATCTAAAATTTTCTCAATAAGGAAGATAAACACGTGGCAGAGAGATATAAATATCTTGAACGTATCTTGTTAAATTATTAAAGAATATTTTTCAACTTCAATTTCTCATACGTTTTTCATCAGATTTCTTACGCTCCAGTAAATGGAATAATGCTCGATAATATAATTTTCTACGAATTAAAAATTTTCCATTATTTACTACGAGAACGACATCGACCAAACTTGACGACATTCCTTTGGAAAATAACGGATCAATTCGCGAAAAACACAGAAATCTCATTATCTCAAAACAAAAGATATAATCATTGAGACAAATGTTAGTGGCTATGCATGAAGGAAAGGTGGCCGGCGTATACGCAGGATAGTTACATAATGTCTCGATGTCGGAGGTTTATATTATTATCGCATCGAACAAGTAAGCTCTCTCCTTCGTTTTAACCTTCGAGTCTTCGATCAATTTTCACGGAATTGCGGAATTTTCTGCAACGTGAAAATAAATTCAATGTCCACCACATAAAAATAATCATAGCTCTTTTTTATTTCCATGTATACAAAGAGGTTTATGTTAATCGGCTTTTTATGAGATTTAACAAGAATATAAAATTTTATAATCTTTCGTAAATCATAATTATGTAAACTAGAATGTTTAATTTAAATAAATGCACGATAAGCGCTTGTTCTTTTAATCGATTACATAAACCTACTCGGATACAGGCTTAATGGATCCATGTGATAAACAGAGAATCAATATATCACAGCCGCCTTCTAGCCTTCGGAAGTCTCCCGCTGATTTAGCGCTATATAAGAAGTATTAGTCATATTGCAGAAAATTCTACAGGCGCACAATTGCAGTTTTATTTTTTACGTTACATTCAATTTCAATTGAAGCTTCAATTTAATCTAATCGAAATTTCTAATTGACGTTATAAATATGTACACACGTCGCGTGTAAGAAAGAACAGAAAATGAAATACTTTGCTTCGGTTAATATTACGATTTCAATTTACGTCACGCATCTAAATACAGAAGACACACCTTATCTTCAAGTTACGTATCGGTTCGTTCACTCTGTAGCTCGCCGCTATTTTCATTCTCTCTTTCGCCATTTCTCACTTGATTATTGTTACAAAAACTGAATCGGAACTGCGGAACGCTGAATAAGCTACGGCGGCTGTCAATGATCTCGGGTGGCTCGTTTGTTGATTCGTAACGTCGCTAGGCAACCTCGCCCGTCACCGCTGCTGGTAGAACTGTAGAACATCGTCATCACGAAATTCGACTAATTCAAGCCATTCGTGCATTCGAGGCTCGAGGTGCCTCATCGTGCCTCAGGTGATGCCTGCCGCCGCCGTCGCCGCGGGAAAGAAGAATATATACTCCGTTAGTTAACTTGAAAAAATATCATTGTTGACATGAAAAATGTATAATATCTGCATTTAGATTTGCATTTACATGAACAATACGTGATCGTGACAGGCATATTCTTTAATCTTTATGCCGCGCGCGCGTGTAAAGAGAGTCTCTCTCTCTCTCTCTCTCTGTTCCTCTCTCTCAAGATTTCTTTTAAAAGCTTCATTAGCAAGTTTCCAATGAGTCAGAGCGATGCGTTATGTCGATAAATACCTCGGTAAACGATCGATGCCGCGACTTCTCGCGATTAAATGCGTTTGTATGTTTCCCGACGGGCGTTCTCCGTACGACCGAGCGGCGTAAAACACCTTCGACGTGCGTCGCATCGCGAAAACCTTGAATTGTCTAGCATACATCCTGTATCTACAAAAAAAAAAAAAAGACAAGCGGTTCGAATAAAGCGGAAAATCTGTCTCTCTCTTTCTTTCTCTTTCTCTTCTTAATTCGAAGCATTGTCTACACACTCGACACGTCCCAGTACACATACATATAGTTATGTACAATTAAAAAAAGAACGCCGGGCGGGCGGTCCGGTTAAAAAAAGAAGCTATACCCGGCTATTGTCTATCATCCATCCTGTACGATTAAGAGGAAGAGAAACAAAGAGAGAAAGAGCACAGTCAGAAGGCGGCTCGGTTGAGAAGAAGAGAAAGCCGTCCTGTCGAGGAGAGCCCTGAATTCGCGGGATCACCAGATCGGAGTCCGTTCCTCGAAGCGGAGAGGCCCTGCGAAAGAGACGAAAGAGAAAAGTAGGCCGATTAACCTCGCGGTAAACTTTCCAGGGAGCGTACAGTTTTCGCGTCTTCGCCGGACTGTCCTCAGAAGGCTCGGAATGTCGTCGCACTCGTCGCGGCTCGGCTCGGCAGGAAGACGCGGCCGTTCGAAACGATACCGTTAACTCTCGCTCGCTCGCTCGCTCTCTCTCTCTCTCGAATCGACACCTGCCTGTCTGAGGTCGAGCATTCGAGCGTGGAAAATCCGATCCCGGGAAGAAAGAGAGAGAGAGAAAGAAAGAGAGTGACGGGAGCGAGGCGGTAAAGGTCAGTGGCGCGTCTCTTCACTCTTCAGTCTTCCTTCCGCGTCTCTCCCTCTCAAGGTTTCCCGGGCCGTCGCGTCGTCTGAGCCGTCTCGGCGAGAGTTCTCGGGCTTTCCCCCCGTCGCTCGGCCCTCGGCCTCGGCCTTTCGCAGCCTGCTCCGAATCTTGAAGGTTAGGGTATGTACGTTAGAACACGCTGTGCACATATGTATGCACATAGAATTTGGCGATAGCGCGCGCATCGTAGCAATCTAGCGACGCGACGGCCAACAGGTGGGACGGTGCGGCGGCACGCGGCTGATGCGGCATGGGTTCCGCGTTCCGCGACCACCCGTGACGTCATGGACGATTGACAGGACGCCGCACACGGCGCGTCCCTATTGACTTCCCACACGGCGTATCTGCGAGAGAGATAAGGGATAATGTGTCACCGCGCGGCGTTATCGGGTCCGAGTGACGCTCGATACCGCAGGAAATGCCACGGACGGCGCAGGTGCGTGCGGGTGGGCCGTGCTTGTTGCCTGTCCGGCTGTCCCTCGTTCTCGTTGAGCGGAGTAGCCCGGGTGTGTGACGGGGCGAGTGTGTCACGCCTTCTCCTCGTGCGAGCGAACGAGCTGCTACGTGCACGTTGACGTCTCCCGTATCCGATTTGTCAGGTAAAACGTGTTCCCTGCGTCCGTTGATCTGTGATCGTTTAGATCGTAACACGACCGTCGCCGACGGCCGCCCGCGTGGCGTCCGCCCTCGCGACGCGGTCCTCCAGGTGCGACGAACCCAGGGTTCCGCCTCCTCGGCAACAATCTCGAGATACCTCCTGACGTAGGTCTCTTATCGTTAGTAAGTGAACGCCCGATAGCAAGAGGCGCAATTCGGAGACAGAGACCCCGGATGAGTGAGAGATCTGCCATGCCATTCTAGCTTTAAGATCCACGAACGGAGCTTTGCAAAGCTCTAGTGAGACGTAGAATGTCGTGTACTGATTATCTGATGTTTACTTTGCAGAGGTTTCAAATTGATAAGGATGTCGACTAGTCGAGAGGGCGAGACTGCGGTGACCATCCCACTGCAGTACAATGAAGCTGTAAGTGATATTTCATGTTTAGCGATATCAGAAATCGATGGTACAGAGGCATTATTTTGTCAATGCTTTCAAGCTTTTTTTTTCAAGAGAGAAAGATTTTTTAAGAGATATAAAATTCTTGCTTTGCTTTAATTGTATATTATTATTAAAACGTGTAAAATGATATAATTGAAAATAACATGTTAAAATATGTTCATTATGTTTTATTAAAGCTTCTTTTCTTTCTCTTACTCTTCTGTGATTACTTATTTCCGCTTGCAAGCTTAGTTTCCCTTACAAATGACTCATACCTACGTGAATTAACAAGCTTAAGCGTATGATTCATTTGTAAGGAAAGGTATATTTATTCGGGGAACGTTACTTCTATATTATACATTATTGCTGGCAACATATGACAACGTCCAGCCTGAAAAATCTTACTGAAAATACAGTACTTGCTAAACACTTCATACTTGTGCCAAAATAATGTTATATTTAATTATTGTTTATTTTGCAGCATTGGAAAGCTATTTTTGAGAAGTATGATCTCGACGGAGATGGAAAAATATCGCTACAAGAGCTAAGAGCAATGATACGCGGTCCAGAATTTTCCAAGGACATCCCTGCTGGGGTAGTTCGCACGATAATGCATAAGGCAGATCTGGATGAATCTGGTTATTTGGAATATCCAGAATTTATAGCAATGGTTAGTGTCAGAGTCTTTCAATTTCTTACATGTACTCGAAATTATATTTTTTTTTCTTCCTTTGTGTTTCGTCCGTGTTTCGTAAAACTTGGAGATCTCTAATTATCATGTTCATCTTTTTCTTACATTCAGATCCATAGAAAGGACATGCAGGGTATATTCGGTCACATCGTGCAACGATATCTGCACTGTATGATACCTCAACGACCAACCCAAAGGCAAACTTCCGTGGGATCGAGGTATTATCCCCAGCGACAAATCAGTATTGTAATGCACGCACCACCTTCTCCTCCTCCTTCGAGCTTTGGTGATTCTCCCCAGGCTGCTATGATTAGTAAAAGATGCCGTTCTGCACGTTTTAACGGTCTACAGCAACAATCAAGTACAATAACGGAATCTTCTCTGTACTCTAGCGACTATCCAGATGGGCTGTACGAAGAAGAGTACAGTTGTCGTCCGCCAGCTGTAGCAATGATAATCATATCGATAATAGAAATCATTTTATTCATGTATGATGTGATTAAGCACAAATCTCTTTCTGTAGAAGGACCAGCGGCTCAGTTATTTATTTATAATCCGCACAAGAGGTTCGAAGCCTGGCGGTATCTAACATATATGTTTGTACATGTCGGGTATGTATCATTCTATTTTACACGTTGTGCGTTTCCATATAAGATATATTACGATTTACGAATAATTGAATGAATACTTTAACGTTCCTTGAATTCTTTTTGTGTTCGATAGGGTCTTCCATTTGATCGTTAACCTACTGGTACAAATTATGTTGGGTATTCCACTGGAGATGGTTCACAAATGGTGGAGAGTATTGATAATATACATAGCCGGAGTGCTAGCCGGTTCCCTTGGTACGTCCGTTTCAGATCCGACGGTTTACCTGGCCGGTGCCTCGGGTGGTGTATACGCGTTAATCACTGCTCATGTAGCGACCATTATAATGAACTGGTCGCAAATGGAATTTGCCGTGCTACAGCTGTTAGTGTTCCTCGTTATCACGAGCGTCGACGTCGGTCAAGCCGTGTACAATCGTTATGTGCTCGACACCAACGACCAGATCGGCTACGTGGCCCATTTGGCTGGCGCTATAGCAGGCCTTTTAGTAGGCATAAATATCCTTCGAAATCTCGAGATACAAACTTGGGAGAAAGTTGTTTGGTGGGCCAGCATGTTTACTTATACGGGTCTCATGACCGCAGCTATTTTGTGGAATGTATTATATACCTCGTATTACGAATGATGATGTTCAAATCGGTATTTATCTCATTCGAGTTATTTAAAGGCATACACATTGATAGAGACAAATGTATTATTACTGAATGAGAACTTGCCTTAAAATTGTAGGTATATGCATAAATTTACTATATATTTTTATATGTTAGATGATATAAAGGTCTACTCGTGTATTATTTTATATTAATAGAGATACTTAATATAAAATGAGATTCTTAGAATCGAACAAAATAGCTTATATTTTCGTATAAACTTAATCGCGAAAACATATAGGACTAAGATTTACAATAAGAATATAAGTAATTTTAAACGCAGTATTTTTTTCAAGCACTTTTTCGAGAGCAAATAGTAAAACAACAGATTCTGTGATACTTTTGCTATATGTATTAAGCATATGCAATTATTTGCAAGTTTAACAAATTGAATGATGACATCGAAAGTCTATGCGCGGAATATTTCTATTTTAGTTCTATTGCCTCATTGTTTGAAAATGCTTAGGAAAAACTACCTCCATCAGTATACACAACAATCTCGCGCACATAAAACGCCAATTAATCTTTCAGTAACACTTAATGCGTTACAAATTCTATCTTCAATAATAACATCATTAATAAATACAGAATCTAAGATCTAAAAAAACTGCAACGTGCTGAATAGCTAATAAAATCTAATATACATATATGTAATGTTTTTTCATCAAATTTAGAGATTCCTCATGATTAAAATAAGACTAGGCAGAAGAAGATTGCCTTCTCAGACGCTTATTAAATGAAAGAATGTATATAATTCATAACTTGTGTGTGTTCCACAATTCAAAGATGTGAATGTGACACAAAACTGTGTTCGACAAAATAAGTAATTTTCTGCTTCATGAAAACATTGCAATAATTATATTCATATACGGTACGACGTGTCACTTGTATTATTATAGACGGACGTAGAGTGTTATACTCACAGATATAAAATAGTATGTGAACATTTTTGGAAAATTTATTTATTTTATCTTAAATTTATGAATAATATACCTGAGCATATGATTTATTTCATGTACCTGATTTGCACGGATACCTATATGTTGACACGTTCGCTACTACTTTCTCACCGTGGTAGCGAACGTGTTAATATGTTAAACGATTATTATCTCGAATACGTAATGTGAAAAGAAAAATAGGAAGAGTCAGCTTCGCATCTTGTGTTCACAACATACAAATACTGATAACAGAATATTGCTTTAACGTAATTGTTTAAACAAATGATATATCTGTGAATAACTTGGTCTGGAAGATGTTAACTATAATGTTAATCTTCAGTTGGATGCAATAGACATTGCAGTGCCAACTATCGACTATAATAGCTCCAATTTAAACAGTAATATCTACAAAAATAACACTTAAGAAATGTTTTTATATTTCTCTTAATATTATTTTTTATATTTTATTTGATCACAATGCAACCGTCTATATATTTCATTATAAATGGAAAGAATTGTTATTATTAATTCGTAAAGTGAAAAGTAAGGCTGCTATTATAAGTCTAGAATGCTTAAAAATGAAGAGATATGAATTGTAATTAAATAATTTATAATACAATATTATAAATATTATTTACACATATGCATACATATTTACATAATTTACATTAATAACTACTATACAAGATGATTCTTAATTATATATCGATACTTTAGGCGGTTAGTCTAGAATCCAAAACAAAAAAAAAGACCGTCATAAACATATATTTTAACTAATAATAACCGATATTAAGATAATCGGAAGATAGAATAATCCGATAAAATATGATTTAACTTACCTGATTCTTTTAATTGTACCCTCTTTTCTTAAGTGTCCTGGATCTATTACTTATTATTTATATTCGATTACAATATCGATGACAAAATTCCCACAAACAGATTGGTTCTGTAAAATAATCTTAAATAATGTCTAAATAATGTAAAATGTTACATCTACTTCTCATCTATTAATGCAATGCATATGTCTTCCTACGTATAAGTGCCTTGGACGTACTTCTCATTGTACAATATTTTAATGTATAGGAGTAATGAGTGTGAACTTTTTTTGACCGCGAAGAGACGAGCGTGCCTCCTTTTTATGCAAGATAAATATATATTTATGTAATATTTTATAACTGATGTCAACGAAACCTTTGTTATTGTTCGACGGAGTGACGAGAATGTCTGTAATGTATGTATATTTTGTATACGCTTTGTATAAAACAAAATAAAGCGATTGAAAAAGAAATCAATCCGATAATTATCATCTCATAAGTGGGATACACATACGTTGCATCCTGATATGGAGTATCGCGACTCGCTTCAATTGAATTGTTCCATAAAGAATGTTCTCAACTAGGCCCCACGATCGGCAGAAAAAAAAACATAAATTTCTTATTTGAATTTGTTTCTCGCTCATCCCGTATTTTGCAAGTATTAATTTTTTCTTTCGGTAGAACAGCAGTCTCGTTCGAAAGGAACGATGCGGAGCGAAATCAAAAGGCGAAAGCGAGGAGATGCTCCTTATTATAACGGAGGTGATTTTTATTTCAACAAAAATAACAATTTACATTGAACTGTTTTGATAATAATATTATCGTGTATGCTACATCTGTAGTTTTACTGTAGGCGTGGTATGCTCTCGCTCGCTATAATTAATTTTCAGTTACTTTGTTTTGTAATTAGTCGCATTAACAGAGCGTGTTTTCGTGGATAATAATCACGTTTCATAGATAGAGTCTTTCTTCCTTTTCTTTTACTTCTTTTATCCTAGCTTGACAATTCTGCGATCGCGCCATATGCGTTTATTATTATTTTTTTTGTTAATATTAATATTATATTATTATGATACAACAATCGGGAGGGAGCTGTGTGTACCTCGGCGTTATCATATCACTATGTACAGGCTTGTCGTCTTCCGCGTACGTCGTAGGGATCGAACGATATAGACACACCGAACAAATTAGTCGATCATCTTTCCTCGACGTGTTACAAATGAGTCTAGGTACATATACACGCGACGTTTACGCTTTCACGTCGCCTAAATCGCTCTCTCTCTCTCTCTCTTTCTCTCTCTAATCTAGATGATACTCGTACGGTAGTTACAGCGATGAAATTCGTTTCGCCTTATCTTTGCTGCTAAAAACGCGTCTCTCGCTCTCTCTCTCTCTTTCATTCTCGAGGAAGAGATGTCGTCGGTGTTCCACTCTCTTTCTCCACTTCTTACATCTATTGTATTACAGTACTGCATCGTACCTGAGATTGCTTACACACAGACGATTTCCCTCGAAGAATCGAATGCAATTGAAGACTTTGCGACAACCATCTAATTTTTTCTTCTTTCAAACACTTGTTAAAGACAGCTAAGCCAAGTTCTCTCGACTTTGATTCATTATCATGATAAAATGTCTATCAATACAATCACGATTACATAATTATTTATATATTAGAGAAAGTTATTCAGTTACATTATATAATATGTATATAATTATATAAATATAGCTAAATATATATATATATATATATATATAATCAAGAAACAATTTCAAGAAAAAATATTTATAAGTAAAATAAAAATTTTCAAATATTTCTTTATATTTTAATTTTTATATTTATATATTTTTTTTAATGGTTTCAGTAACATGTAAGTATAATAATCTTTTTATAAGATAAAAGATAATTAATTTTTCATTATGGTGTAAAGTTTTATCAAACGCTTGAAAAAAAAAAAATAAACAGATTAGATGACTGTTCGTTGAGAAACGTGAAAATCGCCTGCGAATAATCGACCCGTACGAAAGACCCGACACCCTGAAGATCTCTCTAAATATGTACCAACGAAAAGGAGTTGGTGTGTATTCGCTACATGTCACGCATTATATGTACACGCCGATTTTCTTCTCTCCAACAGAGCGGGGGTTTAAATTCACAACGATCCTTTGTATGTGTATGTATATGTTTGTTTTTTGTGTGTTTTCGCTTTATATGTACACGCAGACCCGTCCCTTTACACACGCGTGTGTTCAAAGTTGCTCCTGAAGTCAAGGCGTACCTCGATCGCGCGAGTGATCTTCAATCTGGCAGAGTGGTGCGGTTCTCCCCGGCGCTTGCGAGTATTTATACGAATTTATTGTGAAACGAGATGCAACAGATTATATGAACAATGTAACAGAGACACGTGAGAAAAATGTAATGATAAAAAGAGACATTTGAATGGTATACACCGAGTTTTTGCGAATATTCTATTCTCTAGGTATTCCTTAAGGCTTAAAGACGATAAAACGTCTTTCCGACGGTTTTCTTTCTTCGTGCCGGACTTGGATCACTCGCACCACTCCTCGCGCCTCATCACGACGGGGGCGATCGCTAAACGCAGGGCTCTGTGTGTCGCTCAGGTACTATACGAGGAGGAGAAACGTGACGCCGAGGACACTCTTCTCTAAGTATGAAGTACGAAGATCGAGTCACGGCTGTCGCGCTATTGTTCGCAAATGTTATGCATGCCTCGGGCTAACTAGATTAATTCGCTTCGGTATGTATGTGTGTGTGTTTGTGTGTGTATGTGTCTGTCATGTGTTACATCTATCTATACGATATACATATCCATCTCCACTTATACTCCGGAAGCAATCGACGGTTTTTTCAGGACCTCAATAATTATATTTTGTACAATGAAGAATCCTTGGAGGTGCGCGCCTCTGTGACAGGTGCAGTGTTCCGCGAAATTCGTCGATTCTCATCAAAAAACAAATCAAACTATAGACTGTGTAAAAAAAATTGATTGTAAAATTTCAACGTGACATTTAAATGCCCAATATATAATTAGAACGAGTACAAACATCACAACTAAAATTCTCAGTGCGCATAAGTTATTGTTTTTAAACCATAGAAGTAATAATCCTTTTTGCACGTTTTGAACAGCAAAAATGAAGAGAAAGATGACATCTAATCATTTAATTATGTAATATAGCAATTAATTACGTTACATAATTTGTATAATTAGAATATAATAATTTAGCATTGTATAAATTTTTAAACACTTTTTTTTCTTCTTTATTTATTACGTTGCATGTTTCAATTGTTTCATGCGAAGGATAAAGAGAATCGACGAGTAGCACATCACATATTGCTCCTGTCAGACGCTTGTTATGAAAGGTTGTAAGAGAACAAATAAAAACAAGAAGTTAAAAAGAGAATAATACCTGGACCGAGGATACACTCGCTGTATTGAAGATGCAAAGAAGAAGCAAAAATGCAACATGTACGAGGGCTAATCGTCTGATCGCTGGCGTGCGAATGGAGGCAGTCGTCTTTAGCGAATCTCTGTAGTCTTGATATCTCAGTCGTCCGAAACGACACGGAATATACATATACATATAATCGAGGCGCAATCTGGCAGAAGCAGGTGAGCTCACGGCGCAGCAATTGAAAGAAGTAACTCTCGCGGTGACGTTTGTTTGAATTCGTCGGGTGTCACGATGGCGAAGAAACAAGGCGCAGATCGCAAAACAGTTGAAGCTACAAATATAAAATTAGGCTGTATAAAAAAGTATGTATGATAAATGATACGTGTTACGTGTCGTGTGTGTTGCGCATTGTGTGTATGTGATAGTCTAGTCAGAGCGTACACATTCTCTCACTTTCTTTCTCTCTCAGATTTGTTCGAAACAGATTAAAATAAATCTACATCCACGTTCGCTTTGCGAATGATAATTCCATCAATTTAATCGCCTGCATATTTGTTTTGCCGTCATTTATTTAATAAGTAGAGTTCGGGAGAAAGTCCTTTTCTCCTGAAATCAGTTCGTGGCTGTTTTTAAACTCCTAAATGCTGGCTACGTCGCGATTTCATCACTAAACCTAAACTCCTTATACAATAGCGCGTACGGATTATCTAGCCATATTACTTGTTCAACTTAGAAATTAATATCTACTATATACTATGTACAATACACTTTGTGTTACGATTTTTTTCCCGTTTTCTCAAACCCACCTCACCAAGATGAGAACGATCGTCGAAAGTTGATTCTCGTTGCCAGAATATTTCGATTAGCCATCTCGTATTTACCCACGTGTGCCAGAATACGTTGTACGGCATTTTCCTCGACGTATTTCGCGCTTTCCATCTCCCTTGCTCTCTCTCTCTTTTTTTCTTTCATCTTCAGTTCGAACTACAGACTATGCTTTGCACTGGTATGTAACACAGTTGAACCTATTAATCCCAGATACATCACAGACTCATTCCAAATAAAAACACGCACGCCTTCATTAGCGTTGTATATTATTATCGCTTAACGATATATATATATAGTTTTTTTTTCAGTTATGTACAAAAGAAGCGTCTGTATTGTGAACATGGGATATACATATATAGATCTAGATGTTTCACTGATCGAATGCTTGCGCGTATACCGACGTCTTTTTGCGGACTGATCAAGCCCAAGTCAACGTAAAAAATAATAATTCACCTCGATCGAACGACTAAAGCTTCGCGCACTCGGTATATCAGTACACATACGAAATAGAATGGATATATATCGAGTGCCGATCCCGGTTTGTTTCCTTTGCGAAATGAAACGCTAACGTACACATATACATCTGCGAGTATCGAAAAACCTAAAAAGTGAAAAATATGTATATGTATAGGCGAGTACATGTTACTTAACGATCATGTAACAATGTTTTTGAAATCATCGCGTTAATAAAATTTCGCTAAACTAAAATCCGAACCTGTACAATTAACTCGCGAGATTTTAAAAAAGGATCCCATCAAAATCACGGGGGTCAAATGTAATAGGTTTTTTTCCACGTTGACGTGTACATATACATATATTTATACAGATAATTTTAATGTCCATATCGACATTATAAATTATACATCGCAAAAAACTAATTATTAGATAAAACTATTCGTCGCTATGTATTTAAGTGAAAACCAGCGCAACACCGTGAGAAGGTAAATAAAATCAAGTATTCGTTTCGTAAATGTATGTGTGTTTACCTCTCTTTGCATAACGCGGGAATGATCTTTGACTAAAAATACAATCAAGTTACAAAGAGTTCGTAAAACAACAATATGTGTGTGGGACTTTGTTTAAAACATCATACTTCTCCACTTACCTCGCCGGAGATCGCAAATTCTCATTTATATATATATGTATATATCTACATATGCATATTATATGCGTATATATAAAAAGAAGAAGTCTCTTAAATTAGATTAGGATTTGGCGACCGACAAGAACGCAGTGTGGCTTCTGATTGCCCGTAAAGCGTCGATAAATCGTCCAATATAACCAATCATTGTTTCAATCGATGATCATCTGCGAGTATCCTAAAAAGACGTATGCCACAGCATTTCTCTGCATCCGTAATAGCCGTGCATCGTCGTGCTAGCATATGCCAGTTTAGCGTAAGAACAGTTACAACGCTGAGCGGTTATAGAGGACTATCAATCCTCATCCGAGAGCGGCTCATATTGCGAGGAGAGCAACGGCGCCGGCTCGGCCTGCATCTGTTCCGATTTCGTCACAGAGACGGACGTGGCTGTGGCGGGTGGCGGAGCCGGCGGTGGTCCCGTGTGTACCCCTAACGCACTAAATGGATAGAACGTGGTGGTAGCTGCAGGCGCGGGTGGCGGCGGTGGTTGTTCACGTGTACTTGAATTCGGTCCACCCGCATCGTCGACCACCATCTCATTACTTCCGCTACTACCACCGCCGCCTCCGCCTCCGCCGCTGCCGCCGCCGCTTCCGTTGCCACCATTCGACGGGCTTCTCTCCATACTTCCCGCACTAGCCCCCTTTTCATCCTTCTCAGATACAACGACGGAATTACCGCCTCCGTTCCTGTCGGAACCCGCACCACCATCGCCGCCGCCACCACCGGCCTTGTCGTCCTCAGTACGCATCACCTCGACGATCTTGTTCTTCACATAATCGAACGGCGATATCTGATGCGGCTTGTTGGAGGGAGTTCCGGAAGTGGATGTGGCAGTGCTCGATTCGTAGAAGCGACGTCCGTAATGATTAGTAGTTGCCTCCGGCGGCGAAACTGGCTCGACCGAATGGTATTGCTGCTTTCCCGATGACTGATGCTGCTGCGTCTGCTGCTGTTGCGCGACGCGTATTATTTGACGCTCATCTCCGGTCTTCACCGAGTCCGGCTCATTAATTTTTCGTCGCTTCCACTGATCTTCGGAAACTTGATATCTATTGTTTAGAAAATAAAAAAAGATTCCTATTATTTACGACATACACTCGCCAACACTGTAGTTAAGAAAACTATTCGAATTTTTTGTCCTTTTTTTTTATTTGTAGTTTTACAGAACGGATTTTTTCGTCGCAAGCTGTAATGTCGAGCTAAAGTAACGACGCGCTTGCTTTGCGCGGAGACTTACCCATAAGATCTGTACGACGAATGAGGCGTGTTATAATCTTTAGAGACAACATGATCAACATGTTCGCCGAAAGTGATTGCTTTGTTGCTGCCACTTCCTCCACTTCCACCGCCGCTACCTTCACCAGCGGGACTATGGGCTATACCATTAGGTTCTTGCTGAGTTTCGCGTTGAAATCCCTACAAAAGACGGATTCAACTTACGGAAAAGAATGAGATTGTGACATGTAATGTCAAAAAGCAAAGCTTCTTAAAATGAAGCGTATCGTACAACGAACTTGAGGAAAAAATAAAGATATGTTCAGCTACCTGAAAGAGACGGTCGCCCGCACGCGCGGGTTGATTGGCCGAGGATCCGCTTGCACTAGAATTATCGACACTCTGATTGATCTGATGAGTGATGATAGCGTCAATCAGACTGGCGGCTGTGAGAGTCTCGTTCGGCTGATTGGAGGATTGACTCTGTCGCGACGATGACGACGATGACGACTGTTGCTGCTGTTGTTGAGACTGCTGAGATTGCTGCAGCCTGGAGGACTGTGACAATCCGCTGCTTAATAGTCTCGACGAATCTCTATCGATTTGTTGTTGCTGTTGATCTCTGTATAGTTGCGCCATGTGTCGTCTCTCGGCCTCCATACGTTGCTGTTGAATATGCTGCTGAAGTTGATGCTGCTGTTGTTGTTGCTGCTGCTGCTGTTGTTGATGAAGCACCAAATCCCGTTCACGATGAGCTTGCTGCACGGCCAAGCGATGTTCGGCGTGCTCCTTCTCGCGTTGTTGCTGAATGGCAAGTCGCTGCTCCTGCTGCTGCATCTCCTTCTCGCGTTGCTGTTGTACAGCCAGTCGATGTTCATGCTCCTTCTCGCGTTGCACAGCAGCCGCTACCATTTGTTGATGTATTTCCTTTTCCCGCTGCTGATGTAGCCGGTGCTCGTGTTGGATATCCTTTTCCCGGGCTTGCTGTAATAAACGAACATTCTCGGCATGTATATCCTTCTCTCGTTGGACGAGACGATGCTCTTGCTGCTGGAGATCCTTTTCACGTTGCTGATGATGCTGCTGTATCGCAAGACGGTGCTCCAACTGTTGAAATTCCTTTTCGCGATGCAAACGTTGTTCCTCCTTTTCCCGCAGATGAACGAGATCGCGTTCTCTATCTCGGTCGCGTTGATGTTGCACCGCCGCAGCCGCTACTGCTAATCTATGTTCCGCGGCCTGCATTGCCGCCATACGATGTTCCTGTAGCCGCTGTATCTCTTGCTCGCGAAACGCTCGATTATTGTCGTAACGGTCAGCCAACAAGCGATCCGCCATTGTTTTACCGAGTCCCTCGTGACCACCACTACCGGATGCTGCTGGATGGCCGTGCGGATGTGGCACCGGAAGACTGGGTTGCTGTACTGCCACATCCACTAAACTGGAGAACGCTTCCAAACCAGGTGGCGGTGGTGGATAGTGCATTTGCTTTTGCGGATTGTGCCTCTGAATGACGCCTTGTCGCGGCTGCGTGTGTGTCTGTGATGGAGGAGGCGTACTGGTATAGTAGAGAGTGGACGACGACGGCGGTGGCGGCTCGCTTTTAACAGTTGTCTCAGCAGCAACAGATCCACCAGCGTTACTACTACCACGAGCACGCGCATGCATCTGCTGACTTGTGATATAGTCGTTCATGATGATCTGCCGGCTGGATAATTGCTGCTCCATCGTGTAACTAGGTGGCGGTCGCCCGGGGGTGGAATAAGAAGTGTACTGGCTGCCGCCATGGCTCACTACCACAGGCGACGCCTGACTTGTAGGACCCTGTCCCGGTGGTGGTGGTGGAACATTGCCACCGCTCGTGACAGGCGAATGTCGGATGGTACGATGATAATCGTATATGGGCGTACTGCGTTTGTCTACCGCGAATGGAAGCACCGGCGTACCTTGAGTAATTGAACCACCTGTATCTTTTGGCGTTCCCGAGACAGCGGAGCCGGCATTGACAACGCTGCCGCCGCCTCGTTCATTAGCGTTCGGAGCACCAGTAACTGTCGGATTACCGGGCGGCGTCATTTGTCGCAAAAGACCTTCATAACGCGCCGTGGATACAGGCGTGCCATGCGTGATGGAGCCACCCTTGTGACCCGGTGTGCCCATGCTGCTCAATTTCGGAGATAGCTTCGGATGAGGCGGTGGTACGGTGACTTTGTTCATCTTGGGTGTAATAGGTGCTTGCGGTCGCGGTGACGAAGCATAAATTAATGGACTTTTCGCGCCACGTCCTTGCTCGGGATGAGGCGCGTGAGGATGATAATACGCGCCCGGTGGTGGTTCCGGTCGATAGAGTGTGACCGTCGGCGGCTTGTGAAGTTGCATCGAATGATTGTAATCTTGTTGTAGTCTTGGTTTTTTGATACTCAAATCTAACGTGCCTTCCGTTTCTCGAAGCGCTTGTTGCACTTGCATAACGACCAAACCTTCCTTAGGCAGCAAGTCCGAAGAAGAAGCTTGACTACTCGGCACAGCTGGTGGACAAGGAGTAATGGTGGCCTGCATCTGGCCTAAAAGGAAAAGAAATATATCGTGAGTGCATTTAATTTTTCTAATGAATCATGAGTGACATAAGACGCTCATAGAGCAAAAGAATAAGAATGAATTTTGAATAAATATGATAGTCATTATTTTGCAAGAAAGTTTTATATAAAAATTTTATATATAATAATATTATATTAATAAACTTACCAATCTGCTGAGGGCTGGGAGCAGAACGATGAGCATGATGCGGCCCCGAAACAACGGAGAGTGTTGCTAGATTTGTATCTCTATTAGACAACGCAGTGTTCGCCATGTTTGATGACGATTTGTAACCACGGACATACGTTATCTCGTTACGATGATCGGTCTTCAAGATACTAGATATCGTTGGAGTGCTAGAGCTATTGGGTGCTGACGAACCACCGCCGTCGGGTGGTGGACAGTTCGGCGCACGTTTTAGTTGCATCTCGATGACCCCAAGCATAAGATCCTTAACAGTAAGCGGGTTGGAATTACTCGTTGTTGAAGGTGGCGAATGAACAATTGGTGGTGGTTGTGGATGTTGGCTTTGTTGTTGACTCTGTTGTTGCAACGATGTCGTATTACTACTAGATGTTGTCAGAGTCACCACAACACTGCCATTATCTAAGTCAGCACCTCCCTGACCTTCGTCCGCTGTCTCCTGAAACAATTAGCGCACCTCTATCAGACGGTCCTGTCGCACGAAAACATTGTTTTGCATCTTGTTTCTTAACTCCATTTTATTTATCATTTTCACATGCCAATGCAAAGAATAAGACTAATTGCATGCATGTTTTATGCAGGACGAACTGAAACCTGAAAAAGGAAGAGCTTTGTCTTACCGTGGCAGAGCTGTCGTAATCTTCCCTGCCACCGGATGTAGCGGTAGCGGTTCCGCTACTGGAAGACTGATGAGACGATCCGGGTGGCACGAGTGATACCACGGATATATCCGAGAGTTTCTCGCCAAGTTTCTGTTCGGTGGATCGTTGGAAAGACATCGGTAATGACGATGTCGCTGTAGTACCACTCGATGCTGCGTTACTGCTCGTCATAGTTGGACTTCCTGCGCTGGCTGTGTCACTCGAATCGTGAACCTGGAAGAAAAAATTGCGTCAGACTAACTGATATGTAAATAGAAAATATTTAATTTAACGCAATCTCTTATTAAAAAATTAATTTAAATTAATAATTACACCAAAAACAATTCAATATTAACTAATTTTGTTTGTAATTTAGAATAGCGAAATATTTTCTAACGCGTAAATGTATATACTTATCATTTCAAATGCTGACTTCAAATTAACATATATTTAAACAAAATAATGTTTAATAACTCGTGGAAAAACACTTACAGCTAGCTCATCACAGCTGCTGGTACTACTACCGCTTTCCTCTTCATCAGTCAGACACGGTCTTCGTTCCTCACCCAACGAAGCGTAATACTCGGCCACGACCTGATCGAGACTCAGTTTCTTTCGGTAAGTAAAGTAATAGTTTTTGCATTGATGATTCGTCTTGCCGGGTATCTGCTCGGCGACCTTTGGCCAATTGGTACCGTGTTCCCGGAGCGCCCTGCGGAGCTGCTCGAGCTCCTCGTCCGTCCACTGACGCGACAACGCATCGGCACCATCCTCGGACACTTCGGTACCGCCGGCGAGATGTGGCGCTAAACGGCGCGATATTCGGCTGAAGCAGGCCGAGCAGCATTTCGTCGCGCTGTTCGGTATTTCTGAAATAAACGGGACGGTTTAGTCACGAAGTATAAGCACTTGAACAAAATTCAATTCGTCAAGTATTTTCATAAAACTCAGATAAAAATATACAACATATAGACACAGAGATGTAAAGAGACAGTGTGGTGCATATAATTATATAATAAAATTTAGATTTACCCCCTATATACACGCGCGCGCGAATGAATTGTATAAAAATTTGCTAGGAATACTCACGGAATTCTTGAGCGATTGGCTCCCGGATCTCCGGCGGCAGGTCGAGCCACTTGGAGGGCAACGCTCTCAGTCGCTTCACTCTCGACTTGGAGCTGCTCAGATTCGGACAGCCCGGCAGCGGGCAGGCGGTGTAACGTCCTCGGACGGCCTTGCAACGACAGGTGTTGCAGACGCGCGCACCGGGCGGCACTTGGTCCTCCCGTAGGCCGTACTGCGACGCTTGGCTACGCGGTAACGCGCGGCTATGCGCGCTTCCCTCGACGACGTTTTGGCACACCGTGCAAGCGTGAGGCCCTATCTGCCTGCCACCTTCTGAAACCATAATCAGAGATATGTAGAAGACACGTAGGAATAATGAAAGATACGGAGTAACGACATATAAAATAGTGACTTTTCTTTGAAAAATGCAAGAAGATCAAACTGCAGACAATCTGATCTCGCAGAAAAAATCTACGGAAGAATAGAACAAAATTGATTAAAGTGTTTTCAAGAAGAACCTTTTCCGAATGATTCTCGATAAACTAAATTTACAAAATTGTAGCCGTAAACGCTCGCTTTTCTCGCGACTCTCGCGAGTAACGCGGTGAAGTCCTGCGATCGTCCCGCGCGATCGAAGCGGGAAAACGTTTCTGAAACGAGTGAGCGCGTGTTTCGCGCTGATACGCCGCGAGGGACGGCAGATAAAAATCAAATAAAATATAAAAGCGCACGCGGGAGAGCGGGACGAGGCGACGATACGCTTGTATCAGATGGTGCATATGCAATGCGCTCACCGCCACACCACGTCACCGCCGCACCGCTGCACCGCTGCACCGCCGCGCGTGTTAGATCCTATCGCGGCGCAATTGCGATATGACGCGCACTGTCGCTAAAACGTCAAAGGGGCCGGGTCTATTGACGCGATTCGGCAACGCCAACGTGTCTGCGGCCCGCCGTGAAATATAAATGCACGGCGCTCCGCGTGTTAGCCCGTGCGCGATACGCGGAACGCGTACAAAACGCGACGAGCACGCGGCGCGATAATGGCCGATCGTGTGCCATTCCGAGTCGTTAGAGTCGCCAAATGAAATTTCGATGAAGCTCGCTAGTAAACTGGTGTAGACGCCAAAAATGAGATAAATAAAAATACGTTCCCTCGTTCAAAAAACGTATTCCCTTTTTTTTTTGCTTTCTTAAAATCACACCAGATTGTGAATTATTCCAATCAAAAGAGAAATTCCAGGAACTCTAGAAAATGTTATTAATGTATATTTTCTATCGTTTACTTATCATTTAAAAATATGAAGAGTGTGCATTTTACACATTTTACATATATGTCTATGTGTATACATCCGCGAACTTTACGATTGATCTTGATGCCCCTGATTATACGCGCTTCAATTAAACGCTCAAACTGAAGCATTCGATCTCAAGTACTTTAGCAAGTACTTTAGTGAATCCTTCCATTATCTATATTTTCTAGAGTAAAATCGACATTTCCCAGGACCGCGATTCTGTAACTCGTTGTGTATCGTTGCGCAGCTTCTTTACCATAAAGTATACCTGCGCAACGACAACATAACGATAACGATACAGAATCGCATAACGAGTTACAGAATCACGGGCCAGAAACGTTAATTCAAACGAGAATCAGATATTCGTGGGACTCTCATTCGACAATAAACGCGCAAAACGGAGTTGGCTGCCGACAGCTATTTAGAGAATGTACTCGCGTTTATCCGCTATGAAATTGAGTAAATATAGTTAATCACGAGCCGCGGAAGGAACCCGAGTGAAAACACGAGCGGTGCGGCGCGGCGCGGCGCGGCGCGGGGAGAGGGAGAGGGTTGGCGCACGGAAACGGAGCGAGAGACAGTATAATTACTCGGGACTCGGCTAATTAAGGACGCCCAATTAAAAAGTTCTGACGTTCGTTCTTAGCCTCCCGCAAACGTCGGCATCGCTCGCTCCTAAATAAGATCGCTTTGATAGTTCCGTACCTCCCTGCGCGATACTGCGTAAATTTACTCCCGTCGACAATTATCACGCGAAATCGAGCACACCTAATAATCCCGCGAGATGATGAGCCTTTGTAAAATAAGATATCAAAATAATAACATCAGACAAGAGAAAATTAAAAGAAATTAAAAGAAAATTTGATGTTACGCTCGATGGTTTCGGAGAGGCTACACTCCGTAACATTTTATTCCGTATATTCCGTGAAATTTACGAAATATTTACTTATAGCGAAGTACAATTATCTCTCCATTTCCTGCAAAGATTCGGAAATCTGGATTGAACGACAAGATAAAAAAATAAATTTGACACCGTCTTTATCAAGACGCGTCCACGCAATCGCGTCGCAGTTGTTCTGGCATTAATCTAATTCAGCGAAAATACGGATGAAAATCCGGAATTAAACGATGGTCGCTTGACGCGTCGCCAATTATTTAGCGTTCGATATACTCCTGGGCTCTCTCCCTTTCCTTCTTTCTCTCTCAAAATTCGTACATCGCGGCGAATCGCGGACCTCCGGATGCCGCGCGCGTCTGCTCTCCGGTGACCTGTCACGCCGATGCCGATGCCGATGCCGCGCGTCCCGCACCTCTTTTGGATCGTACGCGAGATTATTGTTGACACGGAATTATCAATGTGACGTCGCGCTCGTGCAACGCTTCGGCGGTGCGGCGAGCGGGGGTCGCCGGGGGGTGCCCGGAGCGCGGACGCGAGTACCCAGCGAATACCGCGATTGGAAGAGTTGCCGGGGAGTCGGATAGAGGATAACACGCCGTGTGAGAATTCGCGACACTGATTGACAGGTATTCCCGAGAGCGAGAGAAAATCGCTCTCGCGTAATTCGCGCGCCCCTGCCCCGCGATCGACAGGCCAATCCCGGCCAAGTAGGATGCTGCACGGCAATTTTTGCGCATTTGCGTATCTCCAAGTATCGCGGACCCCCGCATCCGAGCTGCCCGATCGGGATCGTTCGAGAATAACGCGGGCGAAATGTACAACGTGCCTCGATTTTTCGCGATCTGTCATTTACGTGATCGACAATAACATAATTAAATTCGAACGCGTACTGTAAATTCCATGTTATTTTAGGTACATAAATATTTAGATTTTATATAAATTTGATACGTGCAGTATTGTTTAATTAATAAAACGTTCGAATATCTTCATGAATCGGTGCATATTACTGATATGTTAACAATATTTCCTATTATTACCTAAATTTCAGCATTTTGGATTTTCCGATTTCAATAGAAAAATTTTCTGAGGCAAAGAGGGAGGGAAAGAGAGAGAATAACAAATGTAATAGAAAAAGGTTCTTATTTTATATCAGACGAGTTTTCTTATTTTTATGCGAAATATGACGTTCGTTTCTTTATAGTAATCACTTCCTCAGCGTTTCAACGAGATTTTTCTTCGAGCGTACGTTTCACCAAGAGCAATACCAACAGCGACCCACAGTACAAAGCGAATACAATATACCTGTGGAATATATAACGCACATGTCACGTGGAATAATTCGCAAAGCTCGTTCCCCATACACTCAAAGTAATACGCGGGGGGAGATCTCGGGAGAGCGGGTCGGGTAGGTAAAGGAGAGTTAAAACTGGATGAAACGTCGTAATGAATAATTTATACGAGAATCCATTCAATACAGAACCCATGCGCAGTTACGCGATAATCGGGATATTGCAGTCGGCCAATGTTAGGCGGAAACAAATTAACTCGTCATATCGAGCTGTTTCGAGCAAATTAAGTTTAAAACACGGACGAAGCCTTTGTTTGCGTGGCCTTGTGATTGTCCTAACCAAATTTATAACTTATGATCTTAAAGATCCGATATTAGGACAGAAGGAAATAATTAAATTTTTCGCAATAAGATACTTTAATGATTTATCGAGGCACGATAATTGAACGTGTTAGCGAAATAAAAACCATCGTGGCCGAAGTCAAACCCTGCTCAAACGATAAACCCAATGAAAAAAAGATGTGGCTGCGAGAACGGGGGACATTACCTCCGCGCTAATTAAGTTCGTTGATGGAGGAAGGGTAATTTGAATATTTCATAAGGGCCATGCCGCGAATAATTTGCCACTTTGCTTCCTTCTTTCTCCCGTAATAAGACGTTATTCGAGTAATTCGTCTCCTTTCCACAATCTCGCAGAATAGCCTGCATAATTACACGTACGTGAGTGTGTGTGTGTGCGCGCGTGTGTAATTATTCTTAACATCCTCCTGTGAAATTGCAATGCGCTGAATGGCCATGCATTGAACAGCGTATAGACTTCTTCGCGTAATTGATGAATGATTGAATTTTTACGATCGGCCAAAAGTAATCGTCAGCTGAACTGGTGGGTAATCAAACCCGAAAGGACATTTGCACGCGTCGTTTTCTCGCGGGGATTCCCCACATCCCCCGAATAAAATATTCCCTTTGATTTTGGCCTCGTGCAAACCGTTGCGAAACAGACCTCTCTCTTCCTCTTTTTCTCTCTCCCTCTCTCTTTCGATTCTTTGATCAATTTTAAGTTTTACTGCTTGATCAGGTTTTCCTATATTTTACAGAGAAACATCAAAGTGTCGGATTTAACAACGTCGCGATTATCTTTGGTGTTCGCAAAAATTTGAAACAAATAAATCCATTCGGACACGAGGCGATTTCTCTTTGGAGAACAAGCCCCTCGCGCTTTAGCGTTCTCTGTGCGATTCGGCTTTAGAAAACGCGTCGATCGGCACGATTTGCTCAGAGGAGAAAAAGTGGAGAAGTCTAAAGCAAACGCACCGCGGACTAAAAAGGGAGGCGCGCCCGCCCGCGGCGCGGCGGCCCGACCGCTGCAAATTCGCTCCAGGCTGACATTTTTGTATTTATGTATTTATGAGATTTACGCTCTCTCCTGCGCTGGCTCCAGCGAGAATGATTAAAAACAAACACGCGCCGCGATTCTTCGCGATTCCAACCTCCAGCGCTCGCGCCGCGCCGCGCCGCGCGCCGCACCGTCCGGCGAACAAAAAGAACGGTCGATGTTGTGAGGATGCGGTAATACGTGCAATAAATTCACCGTAACGCCGCGTTCCGCCGGAAACACGTCCTCGTTGCAGCTTAAAAAGATTCGTAATCAGGGACGCCTAAAAAGATGCGTAATTTCTGACTGGTACTGTGAACAAAAATATGTCCTACCGCGTTAAGCCATTTCTTCTATTTTGTCCTCGTTATAAATATCGATTCCACAAAATTATACTATTTATTCAAATCTATATTTTATGCGCAAAAATAAATAAAGGGGGAATAATATATGTTCTTGCCAAAAATACACTGAAAT